AGGGCTTATGTGGATATATATAGGCGAAGGAGGTAGGTCAGGGAAGCCACAAGGGGCCCACAAGGGTGGGGGCATGCCTACCCCTCTAGGGCGCGCCCTCCTGCCTTGTGGCCGCCTCGGCTGCTTCTTGACGTCCACTCCAAGTCTCTTGGATTGCGTTTGTTCCAAAAAGATTGCTCCCAAAGGTTTCATTCCGTTTGGACTCCGTTTGATATTTCTTTTCTTCGAAACACTGAAATAGGCAAAAAACAACAATTCGGGCTAGGCCTCCAGTTAGTAGGTTAGTCCCAAAAATGATATAAAAGTGTAAAGTAAAGCCCATAAACATCCAAAACAGGTAATATAATAGCATGGAACAATAAAAAATTATAGATACGTTGGAGAAGTATCAGTGTGTGGTTGCAGTGGGTTGCTCATTTGTCACCACGGATGGAGGTTTCTGAGGGGCTAAGAAAGTGTGTGTCTGGGGGGGGGGGGTATCTCTATGGCACACAATCCTCAACCCGACACAATACCCCGAGCACTTTTTTCTTGTGTATATCGCATCTGCCTCTTCCTTATCAATTGTTACCTAATTTGAGCTCGCTATCGTGAAATTGAAATTCTTATGTGCCATGCACTACATGAATGTTGAGATGTATAGATTACCGGTCTACTCCACATCATATCAAGTGATTGATCTTATAGTAAGGTCAATATGTACTATTGTCCTCAAATGATTGCAAAATGGTAGTTATATAGTTAGTGACTTTTAGGGCCTTCTTGATTCGCAAGATTTAAAACCCATAAATAGGTAAAACACGGGATTGGGATGCCATGCTTATTCGAACAGATTTGTTAGTTTCATCACAAGAAAAATAAAGAGTTATTTTCAAGAGATTTGAGTGGACACTAAATTTCCTATTAAATGTAGTGCAATGGAATTCTTAGGGGAAGAATTCCAATTCTCCAAAAATCCCATGGTTTTGGTAATCAAAGAGACCCTAGTCTGTGCATTATTGTGTCTATTGAAACCTACTAATAGGCCTTGACACTTAGTTGCTATGTACCTTCAACTTCTTGTAAAGCTACCACCCTCAAAGAAGTACTTGGAAGGAATGTCAAAGTATAACTCGACAATTGTCAATAAAGAGCCGCCTTGTAAGTACCCATCCAAATGATATTGCAGAGACATTCTCCAACCTCCAAGGGTATCAAGTGAAGTTTAAACCAATGAAGTCCGCCTTTGAAGTTCATGGAGGAATTTTACATCCTTGATGTCAAAGAGGGATCAAACTAATCCGGCAAAAGTCAATGACATACTAGAACATGTAGCTGCAAAGATCCTTCAAGAATGGTGCAATGCCTCACCGGAACAAGGGGTACACTCTAAAGCTAGATTTTGAAGAACTCAAAACATACGTAAGCACTAGCAGCGTCCTTCATGCCCTAGCCTTTGTTCGGAAACACCCTAATTTGCGCATAGGGTGGTGCGGGCTGGCCAAATATGCATATCCTCCCAGCACTCTTGCTTTGCGCAGGCCAAGTGCACAGAGTGCATGTATTTTTTTTGTTTATTTTTTCATTTTCATCTTTTCTTTTTGATGAAATTCATACAAATGGTAACATTTTTTTAAAAAATGCTCACAACTTTAAAATTGTTTTCAAAATTTTAAAACGTCCAATGATCTTATTTTTTTCACAGATTTCAAAATATGTTCAGTATTTAGAAATGTTCAAGATAAAAATAAATAAATAATATGTTCCAAATTTCAAAAAATGTTCACAGATTTTGTTCACAAAATTTAAATTCATGAATATTTTAAAATATTCATGAATTTAAAATAAAATAAAAATAAAAAGCAGAAAGTAGACCAGCAAAAAGAAACACAAGTGAAAAAGCCACAAATGGGCCGGCCCATATAGCAGTGGGAGGGCTAGGAGGGGGGGGGGTTGCACAATTTAATAATCGTACACATACGTAAGCTGGTACGAAGAGTTACTTAACCTGCCTAACAAATCCGCCCCCCACCCCCCGATTTTCACCGATGTGGGTTCCTCCCACCCCGTCCCATCCAATCCCTATCCTCCATGTTGCCTGTTACGTCTAAACTGCACGTAAGTTTACCTAGGTGTAGCATTACTCTGCGCAATTGCTGGCCCTCGTCGTGTTATGTATGGAATAACGTTCGCACTTGCCAATCCTCATGCCACTCCTTAGGCCATAGGCCTACAATTTGCCCGCGTTTCTGCCTTGTCAGGAGCCTAGGACTGGCAATCTGTCTTGTTGGCAAAGATATTGGGGCGCGTCTATGTGTCACTTCATATGACACAGTAGACCGCGTCGCCTAAGGGAACCGGCAATAGGCCGGCTCACTAACCACGAGTTCCTGTCATGCTGAAGTCGCATGCGTTTTTTTACTTTTATTTAAAATAATAATAAATACTTATATTATAAAAATGTTAGTTTTTGTAAAAAAATATTCATTGCACATTAAAAAAATGTAAATGCTGTGTATGAAGCTGTTCACTCAACTTTCATAAAAATGTTTATACCATTCAAAAAATTTATGTGAGATTTTAAAAAACAGTTCATGCTTTGAATATTTTTTGAAATGTCATACACTGTTAAAAATGTTCGTCTAATTCTAAAAAAAAATTGTACCATTAAAGAAATGCATGTAACATCTAGAAAATGTTCATGTGTTTTAAAAAAGTGTTTGTGATTTTTCTTAAAAAATATTGTCCAAAAAAATAAGAGTGTATTTCAAAAAAAATTATAACACATATTCAATTTTCAAAAAAGATTATTTGAAACAATGTTAATCAAGTATCTAAAAATGTTTAACTATATAAAGAAATTAGAAGTATACAAAAAATGTACAATGTGTATGAAAAAAGTAGACAACAAATAATATAATTTAAAATTGTTAAGCATGTATAAAATAAATATTCCTGGTGTATAAAAAATGTAGAATGCATATGAAAATTGTAGACATGTGTTGAAAAAAAAGAAACCAAAGAAAAGCTGGTGAAAACCAAAGAAAGAAACAAAAAACGGAGAAAGACACAAGGAAAACTGAGGAAAAATGAAAAGGAAAAGGGAAAAAAAGGAAGAGAACCGAAGGAAAACAAAATGAAACAAAAAAAAGCAAAGAAACCAAACAAAACCATGCAAAACAGTGGAACCAAAAAATTGGTGCTGCAGTAAAGGGTCGGCCCAGTAGATTGCCCGCCATAGGTGAGACGGAACTCTGCTCGCAATGGGTGATATATAGCTCTGGCAAAGATATTGAAGTGTCGACACAACTTTTGCGTCTTTTTCTGGAATACGCAATCACAGTCTTCACTTAGTAAATCTTTCTCTCTCTATTTTTAATGTCAAACAACACCACATATAGACTTGAAACTTAGTAGGTCAACAACAAATTAGCACTCCCTCTGTTCGAAAGTAAGTGTCGTGTGAACTAAAACTACAACATTTATTTTAGAGATAAGTATATTTTTCGTCCTCGAACTCTTCCGAGAGTTTAGAAATCGTCCCTCAACTCTAAACCGGAGAGTTTTTGTCCCTCAACTATTAAAACCGGATAGTTTCCGTCCCTCGTGCTGTTTCGGGCGGTTTTAGTCCGGGATGAACAGTAAAATCAGAAAAATAGCAAAAAAATCTGAAATTTTACAGCATCGAAGATACTTTGGTGCACAAGACACGTGCAAAATTTTGTGGTCTTTCGACATTCGAGCAGCTCGTGGCAAAAAAAAAACTATAAATATGTACGTCAATGAACAGTAAATTCAAAAGAAATAGCAAAAAAATTCAAAACAACATGAATTTTTTTGGCATCAAATAGGCTTGGGTGCGCATCGTGCGTGCAAATTTCGTGCTGTTTGGGCATTGTACGAACTCGTGACAAAAAAAACAAAATTTGGCTCAGATTTATTTTCTTGAAAAAGTGCGCTATTTTGTTTTTTTGGCTAGAGCTCCTCGTATGTCATTTGATCACGAAAATTTGCACGCATCTTGCGTACCCGAGCATCTTTGATGCCAAAAAGTTTCATGATTTTTTGATTTATTTTTGCTATTTTTTCTGAATTTACTGTTCACCGACGTACATATTTACAGTTCTTTGTTTGCCACGAGCTCCTCAAATGCCGAAACACCATGAAATTTTGCACGGGTCTTGCGCACCAGAGTATCTTCGATGCTGTAAAATTTCAATTTTGTTGCTATTTTTTTGTCGATTTTACTGTTCACCGGTTTACTGTTCATCCGGACTAAAACCGCCCGAAGCGGCACGAGGGAGGAAAACTCTCTGGTTTAGAGTTGAGGGACGATTTCTAAACTCTCGGAAGAGTTCGATGACGAAAAATATACTTATTTCTTTATTTTAAAACGGATGGAGTACTATAATGTGTAGATTTTGTTTATGCATTCGTTGGTGCGCCATAAATACTTAAAATGACGACAAAGCTCACTCAAAACCCACCATTTCCTAGATATTTATATTACCTAAAAATCGACGATATAAATGCAAACATTTTAGATATTTATATTGCAATAACTATCTTATTCACGCTGGATCTGTTTTTATCAGAGCAAGGGTACGCCTTCTGCACACCGAAAGCGGCCGGCCGTACGTAATGTGTAAGCGTGTCTCGAGTGGCATATGCATGCATGGACCGGTTCACTCTCACGATACGAGGGCTGTGTCATTGTGTGCATGCATGCGATGCGTTCCATGATCGATGCGTCAGTACATCTAGACGCAAGGAACTAATAACCTTCGTAGGATCCTAATTAGCTTAGGCCTAACGCTTAAGCTAGCTAGCCTAAACCTAACTAACAAGCACGAGTTGAGCAGTCCGTGTTCGAGTATGATTAGATTTCCTCCGTCCTGGCAGCCTATATATACATACATACGGGCGGCCTCGTGTGTGACAGAGAAAGGCAAAATCAATCTCTCCCTCCGTCTAGCGACCAGTCGATCGATCGATCGAATAAGGATTTGTCTCGGCGAGGTATGGGGTGGTCGACCGCTGCCCTACACGACGTGGTCGCGGCCACACCGGTGGCGCGCAAGAGTCACAGAGCGCCGGCCACTCCCGCAGGCAGCGGCCGCTTCCACCGGCTCGAGGTGATCGGCGCGGGAACGTTCGGCGTCGTCTACCGGGCCAGGGACCGCCGCACGGGAGAGATCGTGGCGATGAAGTGTCTCCGTGCGAGCGGCGACGGCGACGGCGACCGCTACCTCTCCGACTTCGCGGCCGAGGTCAGCGCACTCGAGGCGTGCAGCGGCCACCCGTCCATCGTGCAGCCGCGCGCCTCCGGCCACCTCGGCAGCGAGGCCTTCCTCGCCATGGAGTTTGTGGGGCCAACTCTCCGGTACGTCATGAAGCATGTCCGATTCGGGAGGAGGCACACCGAGCTGGAGGTTCGCCTGCTCATGAGGCAACTTTGCGCCGGCGTGAGGTGGATGAATCACCTCGGCCTGATGCACCGGGACCTGAAGCCGTCCAACGTGCTTGTCGATAGCCATGGGAACCTCAAGATCTGCGACCTAGGGCTGTCGTGCAGCATGGCTGATGGGCCGCCCTACTCCAACCCTGTCGGGACACGGGGATACCGCGCGCCAGAGCTCCTCCTCGGGTGCACGGATTACGACGAGCATGTCGACTCGTGGGCTCTTGGCGTCATGATGGCTGAGCTCCTCGCCGGCAAGCACCCTTTCCTTGGGAGGTCAGATACGGAGCACCTCAGCGAGATCTTGGACCTTCTCGGCACAGCTGACATCAAAGAGTGGTCAGGCTACGACGGACGCCGTCTGCCCGGCGGATCGCAACCAGGAAGCTTTCTGCGCAACAAGTTCCCTTGTCCGGCTGAGGCCAGGATCAAAGGCCCGCCGACATTGTCAGAGGCTGGTTTCGAGGTCTTGAGCGGTCTTCTACGATGCAACCCGGAGAAGAGGCTCACGGCGGAGCAAGCGCTCAAGCATCGGTGGTTCAAGGAGGCCAACCCTAGGGCTACAAGTAGTAAGTAGTTGATTGATGAAAGTGCACAATCTACAACGCATCTGATTTGTGTAAATTAGAAATGTAAACATCATATATGGATTGAACGAATGAGTATGGATGAGGTGTGAGATAAGTAAGGAGGAGCTGTTCGTGTGGATCACCACCACACACATTGTAAGGCCGATTGATACATTTGTACTATGGTTTCTTGATCTTTGATGTTCAAGGTACTTTGATGCTTCCTGTTAAAAAAATGGTACTGTAAACTATGCTACAAATTTATTGTTGATGTATAATTTACTTGTTAATTATATTTTGTCCAATTTTACAGTAATCTGGAATCGCATGATATACAGTAGTACTGTTAATTTACTATGCTCCGTCGCCATCGCCGGAGCCAAGACGCGAAATGATCAAAACCTAAACTAATAGGACCTTAAACCTATATAGAGCTACACACGTACGCACACAAAAGATCCAATACCCCCTCGTCGCCGGCCACCAAGAGGACATCAGTGGAGGGAAGCCGCCTAAAAAGGGCAGCAGAAAGCTTGTCACCCTTGTGGCGGCTAGATGGCCCTTTTTCTTCTACGAAAAGAAAGAAAACCCTTAGAGTCCGATTCGATTCCTAGCTGAGTACCACGAAAACCTAGCCTCCCGAGTCGCATCTAGCGACTCCGGAGGCCTCCCAACCGCCACAAAAAAAGTTTCTCACCGTCGCCCTCTACACCCGCCGCTGCCGGAGGAGGCCACCAGGGCTAATGGCGGCGGCCGGGCCCTCCATGGCCTTACTTTCTCCTCTCCTTCCTACCCCCTTTCTCTCTCATGTTGTTGATCTGCGATGCTTCTTCCGTCCGGCCGCGGCTCCTCCATTGGTGCTGCACTGGATAAGTTCTACTCCGGGCGCACGACCATTGCCGCAATCGCTCTTTGGGCTAGTCTCTCGTTCGATCCCGTGCCAGACCGCGAGGAGATGGACTTTGAGAATCCAAGGCAGCAGCGACAACGCACTGCAGGAATGCATCGGTGGCCTCGTGATGTGGGGAACGACTGGATCTAGCTTCTCCATGTTCGGCAGCTGCAGCGGCATGGGCGCCATGACTGCGGTTCGGTGCTATCCTGCTTGGGTCTATGTGGCGACAGACAGCGGTTGGGCGTTGGTTCGGGGCCTCCATCCTAGATTTCGCCTGCGACGATGTCCTCCATTGGTGGCTGGCGCAGGAAGATGCAAGCTATGGACAATAACTTGACGCATAGGGTATGGTTGTGCAGTGGCGGCAGCGGAATTTCCAGCCCATTGCATGTAGCTGCTGAGATCGAGGAAAAGCGGTAGCGACAACACATGATTGACTTCGACTTGATGGTGCTTCTCTGGTACACGTCTTGAGCTCTAGGGTGAAAAATCTAGATTTGACCTGACCTGGCAATGACAATGTTTTGCACCATTACCTTGTTAAAGGCATTGTTCAGATATGTTGTGACCTTTAGGGTGAAAACCTAGATTCAGCTTTGGTGGTTGGATCCGACGGCGGCGGCGGCGCTTGAGCGCCGCTCTCTTCATGTTTTTGCGCCTAAACGAGCTTCTTCAACAACAACGATGACAGCGGCGCTTGAGCGTTGTTGTTGAAGATGCTCGTTTTGTCCTTATGATGTCAAAAAATAGTTGATGCGGATATGGTTGTTGTTGTAGTTGGTAGATTGCTTCATGTTTTTTCCTCACTTAGGCATAATTTTGGTTTTATATGACTTTGCTCTTTGCCAGCGTTTTTTTGTGTGTATGTTAGTGTTGGTTGTGTGCATCCTAGTTATACAGAGGCCGGGTGTTTGCTCATTTTGTTTGTATCTGCTTGATGCTTCATTTTGAGTCAATAAAATTCAGTTGGTGTCTAAAAGGAATAATTCGCGTTCGCGTGATCAGTAGCCAGCCAGTACACAATGCTTACAGTTGCCATATACTCCCTCTCTACAGTGCACGCATACACAGTAACACGTTACACGGTGCTCTGCCCGTCTTTGGCATCTCAGTCCGACGAGCCGGGCCAGACATTGAACGGCAGCGAGACGTCCTTGACGACGGCGGCGAGGCCGAGGGAGACGCTGGCGCCAAATGACAGCAGCTTGGACCGCCCCACCTGCGCGCCGAACGCCACGCAGACGTCGACGCCGACCTTCCCACAACCGTACGCGGCGCCCGTGGACGAGTAGAGCAGCGCCTGCGCCAGTACGTCAACGACCACCAGCACGACCCCGGGGACCTGGCTGCCCCCGTCGTCATCGTCGTCGCCGCCGGCGCCGCTGAGCTGCAGGTAGACGGCCGCGGCCTGCAGCACGGCCGCGGCCACGTTGGCCCACACGAGGTACACGAAGGCGCGGTAGTCCCGGTAGGTGACGGCCGTGGGCGTCGTCGCGCCGGCGACGGCGCAGTCGTCGGCCGTGGCCATCATGACCGCCGACGCGAGGGCCAGGATGAGCGCGGACAGGCGCAGCAGCAGGCTCACCGCCTTGGAGCCGTTGGGCTCGTCCCTCTCCCACCACCCAGACATGGTCTCGATGGATAGATTTTTGCTGCCTACGATGCTAGCTTGGTGCAACTATTTATGCATGCTATCCTTCCACACGGTGATGCTGGACGTGTCACGCTCTGTTGACGTGCGCGTCCACGTCGGCATTGACCTGGGTCGTCGCTAAACTTCGCAGTATACTCCGTTGACGTGCACGTCCCTGTTGGCATCCACGATTGCTTGCTTTCACTCGGCCACTTGTTTATCGTGCATGGGACTGGAGACAAATCTGCAACAGCAAACAAAAAGGAAGAGACCGGGCAGTTCGAAGAAACTGCGTAGGGGCAGGTCGGAAAGCATGCGTGAGACAAGTCAAGCTGCAAGTCGGTCGTCCTTTTTGTACTCTACTGCGTGACTACGTGTCGGTCTCGGTCATTCCTTCGTCAGCACTGGCGGAGCTATGTGTCAATGTGTGTATTGCTGCAAGGGTCATGCCCATCCATGGATTTTTTGCGAAGAGGCTCTGTTTTGGTTGGCAGAAGTTGGGACAAGTAGAGTTTCTGGCCCCTCCAAAATATTATATATTTCGTCATTTGCCCCCTCATTTATCCCTCAACAGCTCTGCCACTGTTTGTCACGACAGACATTTATGTCTAGGAAGGTAAAATTAAAAGATGTACTGAAGTGTCAGCAAGCTTAACTATCAATCTGGTGGAGAAAATGTTGTTGGTGGTCAGTGCACCCGAGAGAAACAGAGAGACCCAAGTGCAACCCTAGCAGATTCTTACAATGGAAGACCCTAAAACCACTTTATGGTCAATCCATAAAAGCTTTTGGATTTCAGGCTGCTTTGCCTTATCAGATTATTTGTAACTGCAGTTCCTAGAATTTTATTTCTCTTCTTTACTTTTGCATATGAATTTTAACTTCAAATTCATATCACAAAAATTCAAACTTCAATGTTTCCATCCCCAAATCATAATAATTCAAACTTTTGGGGTGCTCTCATATGAACCTCATTTTAATTCCGATTTCTCTACTTCGGAGCGTCTCCTGATAAGATGCTCGGGATACACGGGCTCTGCAAAGTAATCACACATGCGATGGTTCTAACACGTTAAGAAGAATCACAACACACCCCGGTTGAGAACATGCATGCTATCAGTTGTTGCCCTCGTCCATCTCCGCAAGAAAAAGAGCCGCCGTGCCCAAATCATCACCCTCCGGGCAATGAATTCTAAACATCCCCCTCTGTTATTTTTCATTGACATCATTGAACAACGTCAACGTGCTTACTCATTTCAACATGATCCAACTGCTGGATAAAAGCAAAAAAAAAGAGGTAGCATACTATCTAAGAGAAAAAAAAAGTAACACCTTGTGTGCATCAATGGCGTCAACCGGCCAGTGCTATGAGCAAAGGAGAGGAGGTGCGACATTTTGTTCATGTTCATGGGGAGGAGGGATGGCGTGGATGTGAACGAGTGGGATTGGTGCGGCGGCGGGAGTAGTGCAATAACTGGATCATCCGGGGCAGAAATGAAGGGACGGAGAGAAGAGGGTGATACCGGGCATAAGTAGGCGGTAAGGACAGGCGAAATTAGGTGGGGTGGTGTGCCGTGTCGTGGACCTCGTGGCAACGTTCATAGGGCCAGGCCAGATGTAAGGACTTGACTTTGAATATCTTTTATGTAACTTTTGGTTGTACCAATGATCTTTGCTCTTTGTGTGTGCTTTTAGTTTGTTGCAGTTTTGTTTAATTAATGAATAAAATCATATTTTTTATCCAAAAAATCATGTTCCTGTATTTCATCCTAACGATTAGAGATATATGCATACGAAATAGTACAAGGTTAACCAAAAGAAAAGGGGTAAAGCCCCGTTTAAGAAAAAAAATCCTAGTAACAACTAATTAACACCCATGTAGCAATTACTTATACGGATTGCCTTTCTTTCACTTCAATACAAAAGTTTCCTCACGCTGTTACACATGCTTTTCGACCTGCCTACGTACAACGAAATGTCTTTGGATTGTTGGAGTTGTCGCTCTTTGTGATCAACACACACAGAGAAGTTTATTCGCAAGGTACTCTTAATTGACTAACCACTAATGGTCCTACCACCATCGACGGTGATGACTTGGCCGGTGACGAAGGATGCCGCCGGCATGCATAGAAATGACACCACAGTCGCCACCTCAGCTGGCTCGCCTGCTCGCCGCATCGGAGTCCTGGCCAACTCGTTTTCTATGATCTCCGGTCCTAGCTGTTTCATTCAGGTATAGTGATCAGTTATCGAGGCATTTTGCCATGCGTGGCAGCAATAGTAGTTGGCTTGAGTTAAACTGTTTCTTGGAAAACGATAGCAGAAGAGTATCCTATTGCATGTACTTCCTCCGTTTCTAAATATAGGTCTTTCTAGAGATTTTAATAAATGACCACGTATGGAGCAAAATGAGTGAATCTATACTCTAAAATATGTCTATATACATCCGTATGTGATTGTTCATTTGCAATATCTAAAAAGACTTATATTTAGGAACGGAGGAAGTATATCATATAACTACTTAAGTAAAGCAGTTCAACTTATTCATTTCTACTCCCCCCTTTCCAAAATATAGTGCTTCCTCTATTCCCGTACTTCAAATTTGACCATAAATTTAACCAACAATACCGACTGCGGCGGGAGCAAAAGTTATACCAATGAATTCATATTTAAAAGAAGTTCTCAATTATATAACTTTTTCTCCTGCCGCAGTCGGTCTCATTGGTTCAATTTATGGTCAAAGTTGGACCTCGGGTAGCGCAGGCACGCTTTATTTTGGAATGGAGGGAGTATAACATATTTTCATGTAGAATCTGACGGTGCGTACACTGTTTAACATGTCGGTCTTAGTCGCGCTAGGGGCGACACAGTTCACCCGGATCTTGTTCTGGGCCCACTCTGTAGCAAGGCTCCTTGTAAGCTGGTTGATTCCTCCTGCATGTAATTTTGATGTCTCAATTGAAATATGGATTGAGTTGCAGCTATGAATGCCTTCAATTTAAAACTTCTCAAAAATATATTAATATTCCAATTAGCACACTGTAACTTTTGAAATTTTAGTATGATTATCTTTATAAAATCGTTAGATTAATTAGATAGCATCTAAGAATATCGTCGTCCGGGGCAAGGATAGTCATAATTTCAAATTTTGACTATTGATATCTTAGAGATATGTAGATTGAATACTTAGATTCATGCATATGAATTTGTATTCAAAAGTAGATTTTACATTTTTCTTATACTTTATAAAATTCAAAAGTTTGGAAAACAGAAGCAATAGGGTACGCCAAGCGGCTTGCTTTGCTTGTTAAGCGATCACCAAAAATTGAAAAAGAGGAGATAGGGTACCTTTTGCCATACTGTAGAGCGCGAGGCCAGGGAAGCCAAGTGAGCCGGCATGGGAGGATATGTTGACTATGCTACCTCCTCCGGCTATGGTGGCGTTGAGAAGGAGGGGGTGCGCGAGCTGGCTGAGGTGGAAGTACGACTCTTGGTTGGTCGCCATCAGGTGTGAGTACTCCTCCGATGTCCACTCCACGCTCGCCTTGGCAAGAATCTGCGCCGCGTTGTTCACCTGCATAGCGTAGAGTTGGTCGCCATGCATCAGGTCAAGATCTCCCTCAGAAAGATGAAGAGCTCTAACTCGAGTTAGTTACCACTTACCAGTATGTCGAGCTTGCCGTCGAAGACCTGCTTGGCCGTCTCCAGGAGCTGCAGCCTGTGGGCGCGCAGGGAGACGTCGCAGACGGACATGGTGACCGGGAGCCCCTTGGCCTCCCACCGGCGGCGGCACTCCTCCAGCTCCGCCGCGCTCCGGGCGCACGTGTGCACCCGCGCCCCGTGCCCCGCCAGCTCCTCCACGATCGCGTGACTGTGTTGTACGTGTTTCATCCATCGATGCCGCCGCGCAGTTAAGCTAGGTGATCGGTCGATGAACTAGCATCCTAGTACGAAAGCTAGGTGATTAGATTATGCGACTGCGTACGTACCCGATCCCTTTGCTGCCGCCGGTGACGAGCGCCGTCGCGCCGGCCAGGCTCCACCTCTCGTCCTTGCTCATGCTGCTGCCTGCCATCTCTCTCTCTCTCTCTCTCTCTCTCTCTCTCTCTCTCTCTCTCTCTCTCTCTCTCTGCGTGTTCTGATGCTTTGTGGTGTGGAGTGGCAACATATCCCCTCCATCTTTATGCACTCTCTGTGGGGCCAGATCTGGATCGTCAGATGAAAAGGTCAACACCCTCCTGGCATCTTCGCAGAATAAAAATACGCCTCTCGTTGGATCTCCCTCCAAAAAATACTTGACGTTTGTTTTTTGGAGTTCTCTAAGAGAGTCAATGGCGATAGGGATGGTCATCCTATTCCTACCCCATGGGTTGGTGGTGGACTGGTGGTGTGCTTTGGAAGACTATAAGCTGACTATAAGAAAAACCATCACTATTCATATTAGAAGAAAAAATGAAATTTTCGGCAGGCTGTAACAGAAATCCTACGTACGGCCGGAAATCTTAAAATAAATTCAGAGATAAATGCAAGCACTAAGACTTAAACCCCAATGAGCTCGGGATACCACGGTCTCCTAACCAGCCAATCACATATTAGTTAGCGAAAACACTAATAGTTGAGTGGATTTATCACCGAATCTGACATGCCGGACCGGCTAGTCAGAACCGGAACAAAATGTAACAGAGTGTGCGGCGTCTGGGGAACTGCTGCTCCCACTTATACCATCCACACAATTGTGCTCGACATGTCGTACCTTATGGACGTGCATGTCACCACTTCAGTTCAGCAATGAACTGGGTCTTCACTAAAAATTCACAGTGCAGTCTTCGTTGATGTCCATATCCCCGTCACCATCTGGTATCACTTGTATTAACCTCATCCACTTGTTTATCGTACGAACGGGCGGACGCGCATGCACACGACTGGTGACAAATCTGCAGCAAAAAAAAGAAAAAAAGAAAAAGAAATTGGACAGCTCGAAGAAACTGCGTGAGACAAGTCAAGTCAGAAACTGTGTGCTAGACAGGTCGAAGAGACAAGTCAAGCTCGTTCGTCTTGTACTGTACCGCGTGTTGATCTATCATCATTTTTACGACAAGCAATTATGTTTATAGGAAGCTAAAATAAACGAGATGCGGTGTCAACAAGCTTGTCGATCAACCTGGCGAAGAAGATGTTGTTGCTCCCTCCCCGGGGCGACACGGGCGGCGGCCCCCAGCCCCCCGCAGCCTCCCCCCTCCCGCCTCCTTCTCCTCCTCGCCGTCGCCGGTGGCCTTCGGCAGGTAAAGCCTATGCGGAGCCGGCGGCGGCGGGGCACTCTTCGGCTGCTCTTCGCACGTGAGTTGGGGACATGGCGTGCGGATGGCGGCTGACCGGCGCTCGGCTCCGGGCCGGTGTCCTCGCTCGCGGCGGAGGTGGTCTCCGGCGCGCGGCGCGTTGGCTGGTCGCGGCGCTCTGCGTGCTATTGTGGGCGAGTGGTCACGGTCGTGGGCGCCTGTGCGGGCCAGATCTGGTCCCTGCTGCGCGTCCCGGAGGCGTCCCTCGCGAGCTGCGGCCGGCGCGGATGGCGGTCCTGGGGTGAAGGGAGGCTCGGCCCCCTGCTGCGCGTCCTGGGGGCGCCCGTTTGCTGCGTTCCTCCGGCTTGGCGTTATGGTGGTGCCGGCTGGTGCTTCGGCTGGCGGGCTGATCTGGCAGCTCATCCGGCGAGTTGGGGTGGGGTGGCGCCCCCCCCCCCCTTCCTGCTCGGGGATCCTCTTTGGCCGTACTGCGTGCGGTGGCCGTGCAGTGGTGGTCTACGGTTGCCGGGGCGGCGGCCCCGGATTCGGTGGTGGCGGCTTCGGCCAGGGGGCGGTGCAGGTCTGGTCGTGGCGGACTGAGGGATCCCGTGGCCAGTTGGAGTCAGACGGCTGGCCTCGGTGCTCTACAAGGATTGGTGGGCGGCGGTTTGTGGCCGGCCGATTCGAGAAGTTGGTGGTTGAGCTTCACCGGGAGAAATCCTATCTCCGGCCTTTGCCGGATGCGGCGGCGGCGACGCCCACGGCGCCGCAATCTTTCTTGGACGCGTCGCTGCAGTGTGTTGCCTCTCCCCTCTCCCCGCGGCCTTGGCTCCGGCGGGAAACCTCAGATCCGCAGGGTCAGGCGATGAAGGCGCCTTCACATCTTCTTCCTCCTTGGGGGCATCATCTCGGAGCCGGCTACAACTGGAGACCGGTGGTTGACGGCATCTTCGCCGTGGTGGTTGGCGGCATCTTCGCCGCGTGGTTTGCTGAGGAGGCTGTTTCGGGGGCGCTGACTTCTGTTTGGCAACAATGATGGCGTCGAGAGGAGCTTGGGTCGCAGCTTGGGCTTTGGTAGTCGGATCTTCCCGGCGTGTCCGAGGTGCTCTTCTGTTGGTTGCCTGGTTGTTTTGAAGTCGGAGCTGCGGTGGAGTGAGTCCAGGTGGCGACGATGACAAGCGCTCGGTGGTCGTTTGCGGTGGGCACGGTCGGCGCAAGTCCTACATATTTCCCTCGCGATGCTCGTCGTCAAAGTCGGAGTTGTCGGTTGTTTGTGCGTGTGGCCATCTGTTTGGCATGTGCCGTTGTGGCTTGTGAAGCTGTTCTGCAGCTCTGTGTTCCACGACGGTGGCCAGGTTGGCCGGTGGTGCCCATTTTGTGGGCTGGATTGTATAGGTTTTAGCCCGGTTTTCCGTCAATTAACCGGGCAATTCTCTTTCTACTTAATCAATGAAAATGGCAAGTCTTTTGCCTTGTTTCAAAAAAAGAGAGGGAAACCAGTTTACGGGCAATCCTTAGTTTTGTTTAGGGTGCTCTACTGTAGTAGATTCTACATAGCTGTAGTTTCTATATTTTTTTCTTCTATTTATATTTTCTTTTTGGATATGATTTTTTATTCCATAGTACTCCGTTCATTTCATTTTAATCAACACTCACAATACAAACCAATATCGTTACATACATTATGAGATTAATTTCCATACTATATAACTTCACTATTGTAAGCAATTCTAATATTAAAAAATCTCTTTGGACATCCTGACAGTTCTAATATTTCCCTCACACAACATGATACTCCCAAAATTCCTTTGGATACAACCGAAGAGCTGATAAAAACCCTTTACCTTACAAGAAATCCAAGATGTAATCTTTGGGATGAAAAAGAATAAAAGTCCAAGGCCAGATGTAGTTTTTGGGATGTAGTCTTTGGCTTGAAAATGTATATGAAACATGCAAGATTGATAATATAACATCATGGAATAATAAAAAAAATTATAGATACGTTGGAGACATATCAGGCTCTGGGTGTTTTGGGTTTTGTCCTTGTAAATATTCTCTCTCTCAAAAGCTTCGGAGGTGGGTTGCTCTCAAACGACAAAAGCCATGCACTACATCTGAGAAGCCACCAACTTATGGTGGAGGGGTTGGCTATTTATAGCCAGGGCAACCCGACATGATTTGTCGGAAATGACCCTGGGTCATTGGGGAACCGACACGTGTCCAACGGTCGGATTTCAAACACACGTGGCAGTTTGGTTTGGGCTACAAGTAAAGCTGACACATCCAACTCAGGATAAGATTTACTCTCATTTGTCTTCGCTCGAAGACATAGGATTTGTGTTGAGCATCACGTTAGTTTTTTTGACTTTGTTCACCTGGACCCCCTTAACAGTTCGGTAGTTCAAGAAAGAAGAAAATGAAAGTACGAAAGAAACTATGTCTTTGCATTCCATTGTCTTTAAGCGAATGTCTTCATACGTCATTGACTTCGACATGAATGTCTTCACGAACCACCGATATCTTCATACATTCTTAGGGGTCATCTTCGATGGGTAAACCGAATCAATGTAGTGCATACGTACCTTTTGCCATACTTTAGAGCGCGAGGCCCGGGAAGCCAAGTGAGCCCGCATGGAAGGATATGTTGACGATGCTACCTCCTCCGGCGATGGAGGCGTCGAGGAGGAAGGGATGCGCGAGCTGGCTGAGGTGGAAGTGGGACTCTTGGTTGGTCGTCATCAGGTGTGACTACTCCTCGGATGTCCACTCCATGGCCGCCTTGGCAAGAATCTGCGCCGTGTTGTTCACCTGCATAGCATAGAGTTGGCCGCCATGCATCAGGTGTGAGAGATGTCCCTCGGAAATCTAACTCATTTTGTGTCAACATTAGTTAATTTGGTTATTACGAAAACCGAATCAAAGTATAAAAAATGTATTAACCAAAAACCTAACGCACACCATGAATAGCAACATAGTTGTACAACGGGAAATCGGGAGCAAGCCAGAAAAGGAAAAAGAGAAGATTATATATAGCACGTGAGACTGTGCGCCAAGAGTCCAAAGTCATAAATTTAAGTCGTGAATGTTACATACGAGCGCACGCGCTATATAGCACACTATCTCTCTCACATATCCTCATCCAAGTGGACACTGACATGTTCCGTATATGTTGGTATGCGTGCTAGTCAACATTGATTCCGTATACAAGTGAGATAAGTGTTAGGAATAGTTAGCATCCTTTGTTAGGCTAAATAGGCAGTTAATATTGTCTTAACATCACTAGTAGAAAACAGGGCATTCGTTCGGGTCAGATAAGCCCATTAGTCCCGGTTCAATCATGAACCGGGACTAATGTGAGCATTGATCCCGGTTCATGCGGCTAAAGGTATTAGTCCCGGTTCAATTATGCCCCTTTAGTCCCGGTTTGAGACACGAACCGGGACTAAAGGGTGCGGTGCCCTTTAGTCCCGGTTCGTATCTCAAACCGAGACTAAAGATTAGACCTTTAGTCCCGGTTTGAGACACAAACCGGTACTAAAGGGTGCGGTGCCCTTTAGTCCCAGTTCGTATCGCAAACCGGGACTAAAGGTCCCATTTTCAAACTCTATCCCCCTCTCCCATGGATCGTCTTTTCAGTTTTGTAAAAAGCAAAAGAAAATGATAAAAATTTCAAAAATTAAAATCCTTTGAGATGTAGTTATGTCACTACATCTATTAGTTAGGAAAATTAAAAAACTTAAATTTGGATTTTTTTGTAAGAAAGTGTTATGAAAAAGTAAAACGGCCATATCTTTTGCAT